CCCCCCCCCACACACACACACACACACACACACAAACTGACTGATAGGCAAACAGACAGACAGATCCTTATACAAAAGATTTGCCAACCCTAACCCTAATTTAAAGCCTTACCCTTGTTTGAAACCTTACTTTGAAACCCTAATCTGAAAGTCTAACCACGTCTTGAAATCATTATTTTAAAACCCAATTTGCTTGACAAGCCAACAGGCTTCAACCCTACTTTGAAGCCGTAACCTTTGTCCTTTTCACATGCTAATATCATGCTACATCCCGCTAACTTCTGGCTAACTACATTGAAACATTATGCTAACTTCAAGCTATTTTCTGGCTGGCAAATGCCAGGAATCCGTCAGGTTGAAAACCCCACTATGAAACCTAACTTCACAGCAACATCATGCTAACGTCATGCCAACTGCATACTAAATCCTGCTATCGTCCAGCAAACTACATTCTAATGTTATGATAACGTCAAGCTGCTGCTAGCTAATGAAAGTAATCTGTCACTGCTAATGTAATTGATCTTTGCCTGATGTAAATAATTTATTTAGAGCAACCTAAAATATTTAACGTCATTACAACTAACTTCTTTAGGCGAACTAAACTTTTTTTTCCAAATGCGACCAAATAAGAAAGATTAAGTTGGCTTTATTACCGAACGCAAATGTTCTTGAAGGTTTTGATGTCTTGCACGCATACGATTTTTGAATGTTGGAACAAAGTCATGTTTTAATTTTTTTTCTTTTTAAGACGTGTGATGTTTAAAGATGTTAATTGGGTGCACTTCTCGTCAAGCTAACTTGCTGCAAATTTCAGCAAATGATCACTTCCTGCCATTGGGGCTGAGGATAGTTGTCGATGCCCTCAGGGACATTGGCCGTTTGGCTTCACAATAATCCGGCCTGAGTCACCATTGGGCCGAGAGGTCCTTCCAAGTGGCGCCATTACATAACACGCTACAATTGCAGCCACTCATCTGGCCTCCTGCGACCAGTCCCGAGTGGCAGAGCCACAACAAGAGGCACCATTCAGCTGGGACCTTGTGATCGACTGCCGGAGATCATATCTTGATCAAAAGAGCGCCCTCGAGGCTTTGTGCCGCCACATTGTTGTTGGGATTTGAAATTCGCAAGAAAAGCATTCATCGAGGACCCGGAGAAAGGTCGCCCAGTGACAAATTTGTACATTTCCTGTTTTTTGGGATTAGTTGGTTTTCCTGCTGCTCACGTTCCAACATGTTCATGGAGTGTGTGAATGTACAGGCAGATGTTTACGGTAAATCTGCCAGCTTGATGCTAACACATAATGCAAAACACTATAAAGGTCTATGGGAAATTATCATAGATGTGAGCAGAGAGGTGACGGGTCCCCGCAGAGTGACAAGCTGGCAACACATGAAGGTGAGAGCAGCCGGGTCGCTGCTCTCCCGTTGTCTGTCTGCTGAGACAGATTCCGTTGACAGCTTGCGTGTGTGCGTGAGTGGGGGGGGGGGGGGGGGGGGGGGGGGGGGCGCCCCGCCGCGCACGTCCGTACACGCGGACTCCCGTGCTGAGAGCGTGGAGCGACACGTTTGCAAACATATGTGGAGCGAGCAACCGCCCGCCCGCTACGCTTCCTCTCCCGACCAAAACGATAACCAATGCCATCGATGTGGCGCGAGGCCCAAACGCTTGCGAAAGAATTTGGACTGGCTGTGTTTGGGTTTTTTTTTTTTGGGCAAGCCTCCCCCGTGCTTCCTTCAAAATGTGATGACGTTCATTTGAATGATTTTCATGTTGACAATATGATAATGCGATTTTTTTTCCCCACGACATATTTTCCTCGAAAGGATCACAAGAAAGTTAGTACTTTTGATGCTGTAGTTTTTTAAAATCTCACTGCTAGCAATATTGGTGCATAATAAGTTCAAGGTGCAACGATAAATCGACAGCTATTCTTTTATAACATGACATCGCAAGACATAAAAGCATGACATGCCACAGATGACATGTGCCACAGATGACATTACAGTGTGACATATCATGACATCAAAGCGCGATGTAGCATGACACAGGTCATGTAACCCGTCTTTTACGGGAAACTATGCCAATCACGATTGTTTGGCTGACAAACATCTGACACAATTACAGTCGCTATACACACGCATGACATACCGTGTTTTCCCCGAAAGTACAACGCCCAAAATTCCTGCTGGGCAAAGCGTCTTAGCCACGGCCGCTATCTTGACTGCGCGTTTCATCTCATTTTGTGTTGTCGTGTCACGTCATGTTCTGGATTTTGCTCCCTGGTTAGCCAGAAGCTCCTGATGACAATAAGGTGCGCTGCAACTTTATGCAAGCATCTCATTACCATTCATGCACTTGCCAGCGAGACCTCTGCCAAGGCCGAAGCGCCCTCGTTTGGATGTTCGTCAAGCATTTGCTGCTAACAAGCAAAGGTGAAGACGTCGCGGTGTGCATGCCCCACCAGCAGTTCGCGCTGTGCTTGTTCCTGACACCGGCGTAGCATGGCGGCTAACACATTTGCTGCTGTCAAGCTTTCTCACCTCGCTGTCTTTTTGGCTAACTGTCTTTTCCTCTGCGATTTTTTTGACTCTGTGTCTTTTTTTGGGGTCATTTTATCCATGTGTCTTTTTGTTTCCGTGTCTTTTTGCCTCTGTATTATTTCCACTCGGCATGTTGCGGCTCTGAGTCGTCTTGATTATCCGTCTTTTTGAAAAGAAATCCTGTAGAGCAGAGTTGAATAAAAAGACAACTGTGCAGTTAGCATTCGCCGCAAGGATTGTATAGTTTGTGTTTTTTTTTTTGCCTGCCTTGAATGCTAACCTTTGAGTTGATTAGCATTTCAATCAAGGCAGTTTGCACTTTAAAGGTCACATCAAATATTAGCGAGCGCACCGCTAACACGTTATCAGCAAACAAAGGGAGAGTTTGTCGACGATGGCCGTCACTCCAAGAGACAGACGTGCTGTTGTCATAGCGACCGAGTAGCCAGAGACCAAATCTTCATCTGATAATGAGGGCAAAAAAAAAGGTTAATAAATGTTATCGGATGTTTTTTTTCCCCCCCCTTGTTGTTGTTGTTGACGTATTTGATCCAGTTGCCCTTTTTTGTGTTAACCGGTGATGAGCTTCTCATTGTGCGTGCTTGCATCGAGACAGAGGGAGCTCCAAAAAAAGCCTGCGAGTATCCTGCTGGTTACGTAACAGTTCACATTCCAGGTAGGATTCCAGGCTAGCTCCAAACTGAGCGACAAAAACAAAAAGGACAGAAGACAAAGAGAAAATACGCAATGATGAAAAACAGACGGATAAATTACGAGAGAAGTGAAAAAAGGAATGAGAGGAAAAAGGCCCCAAAAAGTGTGCCGAAACGTCACTTCATGTCAATTGTGCTTGAAGCCTGACTTAGGAAAATAAAATACCGATACTGAGCTGAAAACATCATTTCTAACCCTGAACCTTGTCAGCCTAAAAGCCGAACTCTGTCTTAAAATCCTACCGCTGTAATGGAAACCCCAAGTGAGACTTGAAACCCTACTTTAAAACCCTAATCCTGATTTTCAACCCCAACTGTGACAGGAGACCTCGATTTGAAAACCGAATACACGAGCACTGACTCGAAAGCCTCCTGCGAAACGATAACTCTGACTTGACGTGTCCGTGTGTGTGTAAAATGTGTGCGTCACCTAAATATTGATGTTGTGCAACTTTGTAATATAATGTGCGTGTGTATTTGTGCGTGTGGTGGATGTGTTTTCTATATGTAGTGTTGTGCGTGTACTCTGATGGGTATGCGTAGAGTATGTGGTGTGTGTATCGTGTGCATGAGAGTTCCATCTAGTTTTCTTGGAACTGGCATTCATTTTGTGTCTTGTGTGCGTGCGTGTGCGGGGCGCGGCGGCTGGCAGCTCGCTGGAGTGTTAGTGGACTTGCTGAATAATACAAAGCAAACAGTGACCTACTTTCGAGGTAGGGAACAAACCTCTCGCAAAACCCGGAGGAGGATTTTTCACTCCCGGCCGGAACCGGAGCGCGCGGAGCGGACTGCGTCAAGTGGGAAGCCGAGCGGGCCTGTCGCTGGCTCCGTTGCACAATTTGGAGCCGACCGCAAATGTGCTTAAACAGGCAAACGCCGGAATAGTGCGGAGAGACCCTGGACTGTCCCGAGGCCTCCCAAGCAGGAAAGCTGCTGTCGTGAGCCGGCCGGCCGGCATGCCGGACCTGGCGACGTTAATGTCAAAAGACCCAAATCAAAACCAACCCATAAAAGGTGGACTGACAATCACTCCATTCCTCAATTTGAGGTTCGCCCCCTTTGTGATCACAAATGAGCTAGAGTTGAGTCCGGTTGATCTTAGGACAGACTGGGGTGGGGACTGGGGTAGGGGTAGGCCCTGGACTGGCTGCCTGCCAGGTAATCACAGGTCAGTACAGCCAAACAAGAACATATAGGCCGATTTTACATTCTTGAACTGAGGTCAACATTTCGATCTGGGGGAATTGTTTTGGTTCGAGAAGCAAATCACACGCCAGTCAGTGTCACGGTTCAGACACACCAGGGTGAGACAACTGGCGGCCCTTAATCACACTCTTGAGTGGCTCCTTGATGAATGGGGAAAATAATCAGATGTACAGTGTCCCAATACTTTTGTCCACATTCTACATATCGCGCATGTCGCACTACTTTTGTATATCCACCACATTTTACCGGTCCCCTCATACTTTTGAGCAGACTACACACTTTCACTTCCTGTAGGCGGGTTGCCATGGAAGCAGAGCAGCTTCTCCGTTAGCAAGCTTCAAGCGGGAAGACGATTGTTTGGAAAAAAAACAAAAAAAAAAAACGAGTAGGACAGGAGTGGGACGTTTGAGCAATTGTTGCTGCCTGACGTCATCCAATTATCTGAGTGCGTGAAACCGTAATATTAGAAACATATCTTTAAAAAGCCCACTTTTTAATCTTGTGTGACTTTTCGTTGTCAAATAAAAACTTTTTTTTTCAATTGACTGTCATCAGCCGGTATACGGAATGAAGTGTCCAGTAGCCTTGCATCACCAAACTCGTTTTGCTGCCTTGTGACTAGCGGTCAACAATCAAAACAGAAAACCCTCAATTGGATTTGTCTCCTAAAATAGCTCTTCAGTGTGGCCGGCGTAGTCTTTTGCATCTTCCAATTCTGTCGGTGTGTTCGGTCGCTGTGAGTTATTTGTGTCAAGCGACGACTCGAAACAGGCGGAGGATTACCACAAATAGTTTGGCCCGCTTATGGTCCGAGACTGTTTGCCACCTTCGTGTCCAGGAAAAAGCAAGACTACAACTTGGCTCAACGTACCTTTCGACAAATGACATTCTTTGAAGCGAAGACACTGATCATGGTCATGATTTCTCACGATCATTAAGAAAATGATAAATATCAAGAACAGATCGCTGTCAATTGTTCACATTTTGAAAATGATAGTCCGCGGAAACGACAATGCCCTATGACTGGCGAACTATGTTGCTTTTTTTTTTAGAACAGGCCCTTGGGGGCTTTACTCATTGGTTCACGGGGAGGACCCTTTTGTGAATGAATTTTTTTTGTCCACTGAGCGCGGTTTCCATGGAGACGCCACCGACGAAAGCATATTTGCATCCTGCCGTAGAGGGATGCAAACGATGCAAAAGAGCGGTCCTTACACGGCGACCGTGTGAGCTGTCGTCAGGCCGCATTGCTGCGCGCCACTTCCTGAACACACATTAAGTAGTGGCCAGAGTACACAAAGGACATCGACTCCATTCTGAGAACTTGAGTGGACTAACGGCATTTTGAAATTAACCTTCAAATTGTTTCCCACAATGCATCTTGAAAAGTAGCGCACAAAGAGCACGATTGGAAATCGGCGGCGATGTCACGTGATTTTCAGGGGATAAAAATTTATAATTGAAGGCAATTGATGAGGTGGTCCTTTTTTGGGTGAACGATTACCAGTGTTTGGAATCATTCAAGCAAGCAGTACAAAAGGATTTTGAGCGTTGGCATCCGCGTTTTGTTCAACAGACTTTGGCGCCCTCTTGTGGCCAAATGAGGACGGGACGGAGCCCATCCGGTTACGTAACGGGGACGAACGTTCATCCGCCTTTTCACGACACGGGTTAAAGGAAATTAAGACCATTAAAAATTATCCATAATCTGTGATTTAAACAGTTATAAAAAAATCAGTAGTTTCCTTATGTTGAACACAAATGTAATTTACAGAATAAAAATGTAACAAGACATTTTCTTCATAAAAATATGTAGTATGTAAATGTAATTACTTTTGAACGTTCCTTAGTCAATTTAAAAACGTTTTTGCGTTTGTAAAGTATTTCAGATGTATAAAATATGCGTGAAAATGTCACATTTTATTTTTTTGGGCGACATACTCCTAAAATGTAATAATTTTTTTCATGTTTAATTTCTCCCATCAAGTCCAGTTGGTTTAGATGTGAAAAAAGGACAAAGAAGTGATGACAAAGACTTTAAATTAATTTATTAAAAAAAAAAAAAAAGAAAGCATTTTCTCCACTGAGCCTGAACAAGCATTTTTCTTCCTTTATGGCGTTTACAATCAGAAACCCGCAGGTGGGGGGCTGACTCAAATTCTGATGCAAACGTTGGGGGTTCCTTTGTGTTTTTTTTTCTTCCAGCCAGAGGGAGACAAAGCATGAAAAAAAAAGGAGATGACAAGGTAATCAAAACAAACAAGAAAAAAAAAAGAGGACAAACAATGAATCAAGTGCGGGTGTATGGTTTTTCTTTTCTTTTTCTCTCTCTCTCTCTCATGCAGGATTGGTCTTTCTTCAAGTCTTCCAGTGTGGCCATGGTGTCACAAAATTCCAGACAGGAAGCTTCCGAAAAGCCATTTTGCTACTTGTTCCATCTACACGTCCATGTACTAGTAGGCTCTTAGTACAACTTGGAAATGGTGAACTGTTGAGTACTAACATTTGATGTCACAAGTAGCACTAGTAGCACACAGTTAATAGTGCACATTTTTGCTTTACCGATAACATGAAGTTGTCCTACTAGTGAGGAAAAAGTGCCTACTAGTACAAGTAGATTTCCTTGCAATCCAGTGTAAGGTAGTACCAGTAGACCAAAAGTGGCACTAATAGTAGGGGCCGGGGGGACGATGACATGATTAAGTCGTTCTACATGTGCACCCTGCATTGGTCTTCTGCTATGAAGGACAAAGAGTGTACTAATAAATTGATCTTATATCAAGAACATGGAAGCCGTTTAATCTTTCTAGATCTCTATCAGTTTGATGGAGAGATGCACTAGTAATGTAAAATTGTTTGTTAGTACAGTGGTGGGGGGAAAGTATTTTGTACGTTTTGTTACACATGATTTAAATGTGGTAAAGCGATGTAATTTTCCCATTTTCCTCCACAATAAACAAATGTGTTAATTTAACACATTTTAATCGGTAAGGTAGTACCAGTAGACCAAAAGTGGCACTAATAGTAGGGGCCGGGGGGACGATGACATGATTAAGTCGTTCTACATGTGCACCCTGCATTGGTCTTCTGCTATGAAGGACAAAGAGTGTACTAATAAATTGATCTTATATCAAGAATATGGAAGCCGTTTAATCTTTCTAGATCTCTATCAGTTTGATGGAGAGATGCACTAGTAATGTAAAATTGTTTTGTTAGTACAGTGGTGGGGGGAAAGTATTTTGTACGTTTTGTTACACATGATTTAAATGTGGTAAAGCGATGTAATTTTCCCATTTTCCTCCACAATAAACAAATGTGTTAATTTAACACATTTTAATCGAGTGCAACCAAAAATTAAGTCACAATTTTTCGATTAGTGCATCCTAGTTCGACTAGTGTGCCGAATTCTCTTCCTAGTGCAGAGTGTACTAGTACGTGGACCTGATGGAGCTCAAGAACATGGGATAAATGGTCAAAAAGGCTTGCCACGGGGGTTTAGGTCTGGTTTCCCGGTCTTTCAACAAGCTCGTTGCCTTCATTTTCAGAAGTGAAAACAAAGAAACAAAGAAAAAAAAAGTCCTCCGTTCCACACGGCGGCGCTGTTGCGGGATAGGAAGTTGCGAGTTGAGCGGCTAGCTGCCAAGTGTGGAGGAATCCGTTTTTGTAAGATGGCCGCCACCCAGCCGGCCTGGATGAAAAAGTTCAAG